GGATAGTGCGCATGCGCGGAGTGGCGCGGTCCCGGATAGTGCGCATGCGCGGAGTGGCGCGGTCCCGGATAGTGCGCATGCGCGGAGTGGCGCGGTCCCGGATAGTGCGCATGCGCGGAGTGGCGCGGTCCCGGATAGTGCGCATGCGCGGAGTGGCGCGGTCCCGGATAGTGCGCATGCGCGGAGTGGCGCGGTCCCGGATAGTGCGCATGCGCGGAGTGGCGCGGTCCCGGATAGTGCGCATGCGCGGAGTGGCGCGGTCCCGGATAGTGCGCATGCGCGGAGTGGCGCGGTCCCGGATAGTGCGCATGCGCGGAGTGGCGCGGTCCCGGATAGTGCGCATGCGCGGAGTGGCGCGGTCCCGGATAGTGCGCATGCGCGGAGTGGCGCGGTCCCGGATAGTGCGCATGCGCGGAGTGGCGCGGTCCCGGATAGTGCGCATGCGCGGAGTGGCGCGGTCCCGGATAGTGCGCATGCGCGGAGTGGCGCGGTCCCGGATAGTGCGCATGCGCGGAGTGGCGCGGTCCCGGATAGTGCGCATGCGCGGAGTGGCGCGGTCCCGGATAGTGCGCATGCGCGGAGTGGCGCGGTCCCGGATAGTGCGCATGCGCGGAGTGGCGCGGTCCCGGATAGTGCGCATGCGCGGAGTGGCGCGGTCCCGGATAGTGCGCATGCGCGGAGTGGCGCGGTCCCGGATAGTGCGCATGCGCGGAGTGGCGCGGTCCCGGATAGTGCGCATGCGCGGAGTGGCGCGGTCCCGGATAGTGCGCATGCGCGGAGTGGCGCGGTCCCGGATAGTGCGCATGCGCGGAGTGGCGCGGTCCCGGATAGTGCGCATGCGCGGAGTGGCGCGGTCCCGGATAGTGCGCATGCGCGGAGTGGCGCGGTCCCGGATAGTGCGCATGCGCGGAGTGGCGCGGTCCCGGATAGTGCGCATGCGCGGAGTGGCGCGGTCCCGGATAGTGCGCATGCGCGGAGTGGCGCGGTCCCGGATAGTGCGCATGCGCGGAGTGGCGCGGTCCCGGATAGTGCGCATGCGCGGAGTGGCGCGGTCCCGGATAGTGCGCATGCGCGGAGTGGCGCGGTCCCGGATAGTGCGCATGCGCGGAGTGGCGCGGTCCCGGATAGTGCGCATGCGCGGAGTGGCGCGGTCCCGGATAGTGCGCATGCGCGGAGTGGCGCGGTCCCGGATAGTGCGCATGCGCGGAGTGGCGCGGTCCCGGATAGTGCGCATGCGCGGAGTGGCGCGGTCCCGGATAGTGCGCATGCGCGGAGTGGCGCGGTCCCGGATAGTGCGCATGCGCGGAGTGGCGCGGTCCCGGATAGTGCGCATGCGCGGAGTGGCGCGGTCCCGGATAGTGCGCATGCGCGGAGTGGCGCGGTCCCGGATAGTGCGCATGCGCGGAGTGGCGCGGTCCCGGATAGTGCGCATGCGCGGAGTGGCGCGGTCCCGGATAGTGCGCATGCGCGGAGTGGCGCGGTCCCGGATAGTGCGCATGCGCGGAGTGGCGCGGTCCCGGATAGTGCGCATGCGCGGAGTGGCGCGGTCCCGGATAGTGCGCATGCGCGGAGTGGCGCGGTCCCGGATAGTGCGCATGCGCGGAGTGGCGCGGTCCCGGATAGTGCGCATGCGCGGAGTGGCGCGGTCCCGGATAGTGCGCATGCGCGGAGTGGCGCGGTCCCGGATAGTGCGCATGCGCGGAGTGGCGCGGTCCCGGATAGTGCGCATGCGCGGAGTGGCGCGGTCCCGGATAGTGCGCATGCGCGGAGTGGCGCGGTCCCGGATAGTGCGCATGCGCGGAGTGGCGCGGTCCCGGATAGTGCGCATGCGCGGAGTGGCGCGGTCCCGGATAGTGCGCATGCGCGGAGTGGCGCGGTCCCGGATAGTGCGCATGCGCGGAGTGGCGCGGTCCCGGATAGTGCGCATGCGCGGAGTGGCGCGGTCCCGGATAGTGCGCATGCGCGGAGTGGCGCGGTCCCGGATAGTGCGCATGCGCGGAGTGGCGCGGTCCCGGATAGTGCGCATGCGCGGAGTGGCGCGGTCCCGGATAGTGCGCATGCGCGGAGTGGCGCGGTCCCGGATAGTGCGCATGCGCGGAGTGGCGCGGTCCCGGATAGTGCGCATGCGCGGAGTGGCGCGGTCCCGGATAGTGCGCATGCGCGGAGTGGCGCGGTCCCGGATAGTGCGCATGCGCGGAGTGGCGCGGTCCCGGATAGTGCGCATGCGCGGAGTGGCGCGGTCCCGGATAGTGCGCATGCGCGGAGTGGCGCGGTCCCGGATAGTGCGCATGCGCGGAGTGGCGCGGTCCCGGATAGTGCGCATGCGCGGAGTGGCGCGGTCCCGGATAGTGCGCATGCGCGGAGTGGCGCGGTCCCGGATAGTGCGCATGCGCGGAGTGGCGCGGTCCCGGATAGTGCGCATGCGCGGAGTGGCGCGGTCCCGGATAGTGCGCATGCGCGGAGTGGCGCGGTCCCGGATAGTGCGCATGCGCGGAGTGGCGCGGTCCCGGATAGTGCGCATGCGCGGAGTGGCGCGGTCCCGGATAGTGCGCATGCGCGGAGTGGCGCGGTCCCGGATAGTGCGCATGCGCGGAGTGGCGCGGTCCCGGATAGTGCGCATGCGCGGAGTGGCGCGGTCCCGGATAGTGCGCATGCGCGGAGTGGCGCGGTCCCGGATAGTGCGCATGCGCGGAGTGGCGCGGTCCCGGATAGTGCGCATGCGCGGAGTGGCGCGGTCCCGGATAGTGCGCATGCGCGGAGTGGCGCGGTCCCGGATAGTGCGCATGCGCGGAGTGGCGCGGTCCCGGATAGTGCGCATGCGCGGAGTGGCGCGGTCCCGGATAGTGCGCATGCGCGGAGTGGCGCGGTCCCGGATAGTGCGCATGCGCGGAGTGGCGCGGTCCCGGATAGTGCGCATGCGCGGAGTGGCGCGGTCCCGGATAGTGCGCATGCGCGGAGTGGCGCGGTCCCGGATAGTGCGCATGCGCGGAGTGGCGCGGTCCCGGATAGTGCGCATGCGCGGAGTGGCGCGGTCCCGGATAGTGCGCATGCGCGGAGTGGCGCGGTCCCGGATAGTGCGCATGCGCGGAGTGGCGCGGTCCCGGATAGTGCGCATGCGCGGAGTGGCGCGGTCCCGGATAGTGCGCATGCGCGGAGTGGCGCGGTCCCGGATAGTGCGCATGCGCGGAGTGGCGCGGTCCCGGATAGTGCGCATGCGCGGAGTGGCGCGGTCCCGGATAGTGCGCATGCGCGGAGTGGCGCGGTCCCGGATAGTGCGCATGCGCGGAGTGGCGCGGTCCCGGATAGTGCGCATGCGCGGAGTGGCGCGGTCCCGGATAGTGCGCATGCGCGGAGTGGCGCGGTCCCGGATAGTGCGCATGCGCGGAGTGGCGCGGTCCCGGATAGTGCGCATGCGCGGAGTGGCGCGGTCCCGGATAGTGCGCATGCGCGGAGTGGCGCGGTCCCGGATAGTGCGCATGCGCGGAGTGGCGCGGTCCCGGATAGTGCGCATGCGCGGAGTGGCGCGGTCCCGGATAGTGCGCATGCGCGGAGTGGCGCGGTCCCGGATAGTGCGCATGCGCGGAGTGGCGCGGTCCCGGATAGTGCGCATGCGCGGAGTGGCGCGGTCCCGGATAGTGCGCATGCGCGGAGTGGCGCGGTCCCGGATAGTGCGCATGCGCGGAGTGGCGCGGTCCCGGATAGTGCGCATGCGCGGAGTGGCGCGGTCCCGGATAGTGCGCATGCGCGGAGTGGCGCGGTCCCGGATAGTGCGCATGCGCGGAGTGGCGCGGTCCCGGATAGTGCGCATGCGCGGAGTGGCGCGGTCCCGGATAGTGCGCATGCGCGGAGTGGCGCGGTCCCGGATAGTGCGCATGCGCGGAGTGGCGCGGTCCCGGATAGTGCGCATGCGCGGAGTGGCGCGGTCCCGGATAGTGCGCATGCGCGGAGTGGCGCGGTCCCGGATAGTGCGCATGCGCGGAGTGGCGCGGTCCCGGATAGTGCGCATGCGCGGAGTGGCGCGGTCCCGGATAGTGCGCATGCGCGGAGTGGCGCGGTCCCGGATAGTGCGCATGCGCGGAGTGGCGCGGTCCCGGATAGTGCGCATGCGCGGAGTGGCGCGGTCCCGGATAGTGCGCATGCGCGGAGTGGCGCGGTCCCGGATAGTGCGCATGCGCGGAGTGGCGCGGTCCCGGATAGTGCGCATGCGCGGAGTGGCGCGGTCCCGGATAGTGCGCATGCGCGGAGTGGCGCGGTCCCGGATAGTGCGCATGCGCGGAGTGGCGCGGTCCCGGATAGTGCGCATGCGCGGAGTGGCGCGGTCCCGGATAGTGCGCATGCGCGGAGTGGCGCGGTCCCGGATAGTGCGCATGCGCGGAGTGGCGCGGTCCCGGATAGTGCGCATGCGCGGAGTGGCGCGGTCCCGGATAGTGCGCATGCGCGGAGTGGCGCGGTCCCGGATAGTGCGCATGCGCGGAGTGGCGCGGTCCCGGATAGTGCGCATGCGCGGAGTGGCGCGGTCCCGGATAGTGCGCATGCGCGGAGTGGCGCGGTCCCGGATAGTGCGCATGCGCGGAGTGGCGCGGTCCCGGATAGTGCGCATGCGCGGAGTGGCGCGGTCCCGGATAGTGCGCATGCGCGGAGTGGCGCGGTCCCGGATAGTGCGCATGCGCGGAGTGGCGCGGTCCCGGATAGTGCGCATGCGCGGAGTGGCGCGGTCCCGGATAGTGCGCATGCGCGGAGTGGCGCGGTCCCGGATAGTGCGCATGCGCGGAGTGGCGCGGTCCCGGATAGTGCGCATGCGCGGAGTGGCGCGGTCCCGGATAGTGCGCATGCGCGGAGTGGCGCGGTCCCGGATAGTGCGCATGCGCGGAGTGGCGCGGTCCCGGATAGTGTGCATGGGCAGTTAGCGGGGATCCATTACAGCGTCGGCTGGCGTCCGCCATTGGTGAATCCTCCGTCGTATGTGCGTCCTCATCGCCACATTCGTCTTCTCCTTTCAGCTACGCGTTACTGAGAAGGTCCAAAGAGCGCCAGAACCTGGACGGCCTGAACAACCTGCGGTACTCGCCGCGTATCACCTCCCACCCGCTATACAAGAACATTACGGTAGAGCTAACTCCGGAGCTGGCTGTGGTGAGCGAGGATTGAGTTCAGCGACGATCTTCACCTCCTGACCAGACCGATCCTCGTACTGCACATGTCGGAGTCTCGGCGCAGCCTGGAAGTTGTGGAGCCGCCATAGAGGCAGCGCTGACCGAGGACCGAGGAAAGCACCAACATCCACCAAGCAGCTGCACGGAGAGGACTTGATGTCCCACATGTCTGGATGTATGAGATATGTGGCAGTATATATATATACCCTTCATTGTCTGTTTACATGAGTAGGAGGAGCCTCTCCTCCTCCAGCGTGAGATATGTTATAGGAGAAGCTGTGATTGGGGGATATGGATCTAATGATCACAGGAGGAGGAGCCTAAGGGCCCATCTGTGAGGACCAGCAGATGTCACACTGTAGTGCCTACAGGGGGGCGCTGGAGAGTCAGGACGACGCCCCTCCCACAGAGGAATATGGGGGTTGTGTTGGACCAATAACATGGATCCTTTCTGTCTCCATTCTGTATTGGTTGGTGAGCGGTGCCGTATGGTGCCTATAGTGGTGAACCGTAGAATCCCGACACGAGATAGAAGAACACACGTTGTACCCGAGCTCTGTGTATAATGACGGTTCTGTCCAGCAACAGAAGAATCTAGAGGATGAGTAGGAGGGGCCACACAGACACGGGGCCCTTTATTGGAGGTTTTGGGTGAATGTTTATGAAGTGCTCAGCCCGTCCTTCCCCCTGGCAATGGTCTCCCCCGGCAATGGTCTC